CCTCAGGCGCCAGTCCCAGGCACCCGCTCACCAGTCCCGTCGCCCTGCCTCCGTAGCACCGGGGTCCCTGTCCCTTCAATGCTTCCAAAAAGCGCTCACCAAAAAGAGGAAGAAAAAGGGGAAAAACGCGCGATTTCCTCCATCCTCAGGCGCTGGTCTCAGGCACTCGCCTGCCGGTTCCGCAGGAGAAACGTGGGATATTCTTTGTCCTCAGGCGCCGGTCCCAGGCACCTGCTCACCGGTCCTGCCACCCTGCCTCCCTAGCAGCAGGGGCCTGTCCCTTTAAGGCTTCCAAAAAGCACTCGCCAAAACAAAACCGCTCCGGTTTCTTTCCACCCGCCGGGAGCCGGGGGGAGGGGCGCTCGGGTCCCGCCGGGCCGGGGCTTGTTTCTTACCCCCTTCGCAAGGCGCTGGGTTCTTGCAGGTGTGGATGTGGTCTGGATGTTGTCCTGTGTCCTGTGTTCTCTATTTTAGGAAGATTTTTCTTTGTTATATTTTCATAGCTCTATGTGTTTTTGGGAGGAGATTTCCACTGCTCTACTCACGCTGCCATCCTGGCTCCGCCCCCCCATGGATTTTGATATGTCATATTTGTTTTCATTTGTCTCTAGGTATTAAAAATTTTTTTCTCCTGATTTCTTTGATGATTGGTTGTTCAGTAGCATGTTACTTAATCTCCATGTGTTTGTGGTTTTTTTCCACTTTCTTCTTGTACTTAATTCTAATTTCATACCACTTGGTCAGAAAAGATGCTTGATATGATTTCAGTTTTCTTGAATTTTTTGAGATTTGTTTTGTGGACCAAAATGAGATCTATCCTGGAAGTGTTTCATGTGCACTTCAGAAGAATGTATATACTGCTTCTTTAATTCTGTATATATTGTCCGTCTTATCTATTTTATCATTTAAGGCCATCAATCCTTACTGATTATCTGGATGAACTATTTTCATTGATGAAAGTGGTGTATTATTCTCCTACTATTATTGTATTCTTTCAATTTCTCCCTTTATGACTGTTAAAATTTGTTTTATGTATTTTGGTGTTCTTATATTGGATGCATACATACTTATAAATGTCGTATCATCTTGCTGGATTGATCCCCTTTATCATTATGTAGTGCTTTTTTGTTTTTTATTACAGTCTTTGTTTTAAAGTCTTTTGTGTTTGATTTGACTGTATCCACTCTAGTTTTTTTTTCATTTCCACTTGCATGGAAATCTGTTTCCATCCCTTCATGTCTGTTTGTCCTTCTGAAATGAGTCTTCTGTAGGCAGCATATCGGCGGGGTTTGTTATTGAAGTCCATTCAGCTACTCTGTCTTTTGATTGGCAAACTTGTCCCTGTAAAGTAATCATTGATAACTATATATTTATTGCCATGTGTTCTTGTTTTCTGGCTGTTTTTGCAGCTCTTCTCTGGTCCTTTCTTTCTCTCTTCCTTTGTAGTTTCATGGTTTTCTGTGGGATGTTATGTTTAGATTTCTTTCTCATTTAATTTTTTTAATTTACTCTAAGTTTTTTCCTTGTGGTTACCATGAAGTTCACATAAAATATCCTATGTAAATAGGAGTCTGTTTTAAGTTGATAGCAACTCAATTTTAAATACATACCAAAATTTTACATTTTTGCCTCCATTATGTTTTATAATTTGTATTACACGTTTTACATCTTATTTTATTCTTCCCTTATCTAATTATTGTAATTTTAGTTCAGTTTACTACTTTTGTCTTTTAACCTTCATGTTTGCTTTGTGATTGATCCACTGTCTGATATATATTTATCTTTCCCATTGAGAATTTTACTTTCTTATGTTTTCTTATCAATTAGTGTCATTTCTTTCCATCTTAAAAAGTCCCTTTAACATTTCTCCTAGAGCCATTTTAGTGGTGATGAACTCTTTTAGTGTTTGCTTGTCTGGAAAACTCTATCTTTCCTTAAAGTCCAGATGATAACTTTGCCTGGTAGAGTATTTTTGGTTAGAAATTTTATACTTCCAGCACTTTGAATATGTAATTCAAATGACTATGCCACTCCCTTCTGGTCTGTAAACTTTCTGCTGCAAAATTTGCTGATAGCCTTATGGGGTTTCCCTTTTATGTAACAAGTTGTTTTTCTCTTGCTGCTTTTAGTTAATCCTTAATTTTACCCATTTTAATTATAATGTGTCTTGGTGGAGATCTCTTTGGGTTCCTCTTATTTGGAATTCTGGGCTCCCTGGATTTGGATTTCTGATTCCTTTCCTGGACTAGGGAAGTTTTTAGCCATTATTCAGGTACTTTATTTTCAAAAATTATTAGAAAAAGATAAAGAATAATTATATCTTCAAATAATTATATCTTCAAAAAAGTTTCTGTCTCTTTAGTATTCTTATAATGCAGATGTTACTCTACTTGGTGTCCCAATGGTTTCTTAAGGTATGTTCACTTTTCTTAATTGTCTTTTCATTTTGCTTCTCTGTCTGGCTGAGTTTCATTGCTTTGTCTTCTAGCTCACTGATTTGTTCTGCTTTATCCAATTTGTTATTGAACCCATCTAGTATGTTCAGCTCAGTTATAACTTCTGTTTGGTACTCTCTGTTTTCTGTCTCTTGGTTGAAGTTTTCACTGCGTTCATCCTGAGTTCAGTGAGCACCTTTATGACCATTACTTTGAACTCATTGTCAGATGGATTGCTTATCTCCATTTAGTTTTTTTTCCCTGAGATTCTGTGGTGTTCTTTCATTTGGACCATATTTCTCTGTGTCCTCCTTTTGCCTCTGTTATTGTTTCTAGGTAGTAGGTAATTCAACTGCCTCTCAGTCTTGAAGGGACAGCCTTATGTAGGAGATGTTCTGTGGGGCCAAGAAGCACAATCTTATTTAGTCACCAAAGCCAGGTGCTCAAGGAGTATCTCCTTTGTGGACTGTGTGCTCCCCTCCTGTTGTGATCGGCTGTGGTTATGGTATGTTGGTGGGCAGGGCTGGCCCCCAGCCCAGCTGTGGAGGGTGTCTGCAACTGCCACTGGTGGGCAAGCTTCTCAGTAGGGCACTACCACTGGCACTATCAGATCAGAGGGAGACTTCCAGTGAGTCTACAGCCCCTGCCCTGCCCCCAGCACTGGTATTAGTAAGAAAGAAACTGAGATCCTAAAAATGGCTCCTGGGAGTGTCTCAGTGCCTGGGAAGAGTCACCACTATTTCCTTTCTTTCTGGCAGATACTTCATTGTTAGTAAATGGGTCTATTGTGGCTATGGTCTATGCACTTTTCAAATTGATTTTTGGGTTGCATGAGTCTGTGTGTAAGCCTTTTAAGAGTGGGTTTTCCATTCCCCACACTTTTATAGTTTTCCTGAACATAATTCCTGTTGATTTTCAAAGCCTGGTGCTTTGAGGATTCATTTCCTGCACAGGATCTAAGGTGGATGTACCTGTTGTGGAACTTGAATCCCTCACTCCTCAGGGAAAGATTCCCTGCCTTTGATGTCCATCCTAATTGTGATTTACAGCAGCTAGGGTGTGGTTTTTACCCTGACCAGTCCATACTGTGCCTCATTTTCCTGTCATGATGCTATCCTTTTATCCTTTGTTATGGAGGCTCTGTTCATGCGATTATCAGGCCCCCATCAGAGGGAATTATTTCACATATATTTGTAGATTTGTTGTGTCCAGCAGAGGAGGTGAATTCAGAATCTTGCTGTGCCACCATATTATACCTAACTTGAGAAACCATTTATTGTTGGAGCATTTTTAAATTGGAAACTGTGTACATAGGCAGTTTTCTGTTACCTGTGTAGGGGAAGCATCTTTTTATAAATCACTTGAGAGGTTTCTGTTCCAGTAAAGTGCCAGGACCAACTGTGCTTCTCCTTTACAGCTGATTTGTATTTTGATCAAAATTGAGTCATTTATTTGTCAGTTTTGGGTTGTCCATAAAAAAAATACAGAGCCAGTTGGTGCTGATCATTGCTTATCAGTGTGCATTTTGTGTACTAATCTGTATGTTTTCCATTGTTTCTGTAATAGATTACCATAAACTTAGTGGTAGGAAACAACACAAATTTCTTTTTTTCACACCTTTAGAGAGGAGAAATCTGAAATCAGTTTCACAGCTAAAGTCAAGGTGCTGGCACCTGCATAATACAGAATAACACCTCCATCTCAAGATCCTTAACCTCACATACATACAAAATCTCTTTTGCCATGTAAGCAAATATTCACCGGTTCTGGGAATGAGGACATCTTTCTTTGTCCTGTTGTTCTCAATCATTTCTCTTAGGCTATTTTTATATGGTTTAATTGCATGGGTAAATGATAACCACCTTAATTTTCATGGAGCAGGTTGGAGGTGTTTTAAAAAAGTGAATACAATAAAAACAAACATAATTCAGAAAACAATCGACTTTTGGTCCAGCGCTGGGTTGCAGGTTTTCCATCTGACTCTGGATTTCAGAGAAATAATATTGAGGATTAGTTCTTGGTACTTAATTGTGTCAGTCCAAACTATGGTGATTTTGAGGTTTCTTTAAGCATTTGGGAAAGTTATGATTCAACCTATTTTAGGGTGAGCCCAGGATTTTAACTGAGAGAATGAATCAAGTCCCTATATTTAAGCTTGAACAGGCCCATGATTTGGTCCTGGAATACCTAATTTTGATCTCACAGAGTTAAAACTCTAGGAAAACTTGGGATTGCTCTGTATTGCCTAGAATCCTTTGATATTAATAGCAAACTGAACCAAAAATGTTTCTTTCTTTAGGAGAGTCATTAAAGTAAAGAAAAAGCTTCATCTTTCTGTTACATCTTTCTGTTACACTACTGTAAACCCTTAAGCCATGAGAGGTAAAGTTAATTATTTAGGGCATTGTTTCTTAAACTGATATTCTACACACTATTCTTCCATGGTTCTAAAAATGGCTTTATTGATATATGATTCATATACCGTAAGTACCTCCTTTTATTTATTTATTATTATTATTTTGTTTACAGTCCAGAGATCTTTTCTTTCTTTATTTTTTACACCCATCAAGCCATGAATTCACAGGGAATGGGTCCCAGCAGCTCAGGCTCCTTTCCATTTGTTCTCATAAAGTGTGCTTCTCTGGGTGGAGCGGGCTGGCGCTTCAGTTGAACCCAAGTTCCTTTCTCTTTGGCTTCCTTCTTTTTCTGATCATTTTCCTTCACATGCTTCAGAAAGCTATCTCGGCTCTTAGAGTGCTTAATATGCTCAATACGTATATTAATTCTCTTTGCAAGGATCTTGCCCTTTACTTGTTTGTTTGAATTACCTACTACCTAGAAACAATAACAGAGGCAAAAGGAGGACACAGAGAAATATGGTCCAAATGAAAGAACACCACAGAATCTCAGGGAAAAAAACTAATGCCAACAGCATGCTGGGTAACATTGTAGACTTGTCCAGTTTTGCCATGGTAACATTTGTGGGGCATTCCTTTTTGAACAGTGCCCATTCCCTTGATGTCTACTATATCACCTTTCTTGTAGATTCGCATGTATGTGGCCAAAGAAACAACTCTGTGTTTTCTAAAAGGTCTAGAAAACATATAGTGGGTGCCTCTCCTCTTTCCCTTTGTGTTGGTCATTTTGGTGGTTTACTGGAAGATGGCGGTTCCGGCCGAAGAGAGCAGTACCTCTTTTTAAAACATCTAATTTAGTGTAGTTTAGTTTATTCACAGAGGTGGACAGACATCACCACAACATTATTTTGGAGAATTTTCATCACCCTAGAAAGGAATTCCATATTCATTAGTTGTCACTCCCCATCTCCCTCTCCCAGCCCTGGGCCACCACCAATATACTTTCTATTTTATGAATTTGTCTATTCTGGACATTTCCTATCAGTGGGATCATATAATATGTGCTCTTTTACAACTGGCTACTTTCACTTAGAATAATGTTTTTAGTATTCATCCTTGTAGAATGTATCAGCATTTCTTTCCATTTTATGGCTGAATACCATTGTGTGGATATACCACATTTCTTCTATCCATTTACCAATTGATGGGATTCTATTTTTCACCTATTTTAACTAATTTTATGAACATTTGTGTGCATTTTTTAGTGTGAATGCGTGTTTTCAATTCTGTGTGGTGTATCCATAGTAGGGAATTCCTGGGTCATGTGCTAAATAACTGTTTGCCTTTTTGAGGAATTGCCAGACTCTTTTCCAAAGTATTGTAACATTTCATGTTCCTATCAGCAGCATGTGAAGTGAAGGTTCTGATTCCTTCACATCCTTGGCAACACTTGTTATTATCTGACATTTTGAAATTAACCATGGGTTTTTCATTTCCATTTCCCTGTTGAGTAATGATATGTAGCATCTTTCCACGTGCTTATTGGCCATTTGTACATCTTTCTTAGGGAAATATCTATTCAGAGCCTTTGCACATCTTAAACTTGGGTTACTTATTTTTTTATTATTGAGCTTTTCTTTGTATATTCTCTGTACAAGTCCTTGTCAGACATGATCTGCAAATATTTTCTCCCATTCTTATGTTGTCTTTTCAATTTTTTGTGGCATCCTTTGAAGCAGAAAGGTTTTTAATTTTTATGAAGACCAATATATGTTTTCTTTTGTTTTTTTTCCTGCCTTTGGTGACTCATTTAAGAAACCATTGCCAAATCCAATATCATGAAAATTTACATCTATAGTTTATTCTAAGTTTTTTATAGTTTTAGTTTTACATTTAGGTCTTTGATCCATTTTGAGTTGGTTTTTACATGCAATGTGAAATAAGGGGCCAACTTCATTCTTTTGTATGTGGCTATCAGTTGTCCCAGGATGTTTGTTGAAAAGGTTGTTATTTCTTCTGAATAGTCTTGGCGTACTTGTTGAAATTTGGTTGACCATGGATGTATGGGTTTACTTCTAGACTGTCAGTTATATCCCATTGATTTATATGACTACCAATGTGCCATTACCACACTGTCTTGTTGCTTTGCACTAAGTTTTGCAATAGGGAGTGTGACTCTTCCAGTCTCTTACAGATTTTCAATGGTACTTTATCTGTTCTAGGTCCCTTCAAATTTCATGTGAATTTTTGAATCAGCTTGTCAAGTTTTACAAAGAAGATAGTTGGGATTCTGATAAGGATTGCATTGAATCTGTAGATCAGTGTTTAAAATATTACCACCTTAACAATGTTGTCTTCTGGTCCATGAATATGGGATATTTTCCCAATTAGATGATCTTTAATTTCTTTTACAATATTTTATAATTTTCTGAGTATAAATCTTATACATATTTGATTAAATTTATTCCTAACTTTTTATTCTTTTTGATGCTATTATAAATGGAATTGTTTTTGTGATGTGATTTTGGGGTTGTCATTGACCTTTGTATATAAATTTTGTATTCTGCAACCTTGATAATTCATTTACTAGCTCTAATAGTTATTCTTTTGTGGATTCCTTAAGATTTTGTATGTATGAGATCATATAATGTACAAATAAAGATAGTTTTATTTCTTCCATTCCCATCTGCATACCTTTTATTTATTTCTTGTCTATTTGGACTAGGTAGAACCTCTAGTACTATGTTGCATAGAAGTGGCCAGGGTGAACATCCTTACCTATTCCTGATCTCAGGGGGAAGCAGCCAGTCTTGCACAAATAAGTATGATGTCAGTTGTGGTTTTTTTGCGTATGTCCCCTATAAGGTTGAGGAAATTCCTTCTATTCCTAGTTTTTTAAATTGTTTTTATCATGAAAGGATGTTGGATTGCATCACTTTTTTTTCTGCATCTGTTAAGATGATGATGTGATTTTTACTTTTCTATCGCTACAGTGTTTTACATGAATTGATTTTCAGAAGTTAAACCAATCTTAAATTCCTAGGATAAATCTTTGTGGTCATGGTGTACAATTCTTCCCATATGCTGCAGGATTCATTTTGCTAGTATTTGGGTGAGGATTTTTGTGCCCATACTCATAAAACATAATAGTCTGTAGTTTGCATTTTTTTCCCTTGTGATATCTTTTTCTTGTTTTGTTGTCTGAGTCTTACTGGCCTCAATAAAATGAGTTGGAAGTATTGCTCCTTTAATATTTTTGTGAAAGAGTTTATGAATAATTACTGTTAATTTTTCAGTAGAGTTCAGTGGTAAAGTCATGAGGGCCTGGGTATTCTTTGGGGGTAGTTTTTTGATAACTAATTTTATCTCCTCACTTATTATTTGGTAGTTTGTGTCTTTATAGGAATGTGTCCATTTCATTTATCTAATTTGCTGGTGCATTTTATATATATATATATATATATATATGCATATATTCATAGTGTTCCTTTTGACTCCCTTATTTCCATAAGGTTCATAGTAATACCCCTTCCTTTGTCTTTGGTTCTAGTAATTTGAGTCTTATCTCTTCTTTCCCCTTGTTCAGTCCAGCTACAGATTTGCCAATTTTGTTGGTATTTTTAAAGAACCAACTGCTGCGTTTGTTGATTTTCTCTATTGTTTTTCTATTCTCTATTTCATTTTCTTCTCTAGCTTAGTTATTTCCTTATTTCTTCTTCCTTTAGGTTTAGTTTGATCTCTTATTAGTGGTATAAACTGGAAGAGTAGATTATTAATTTGAGCTCTTCTGACTTTCTTAAGATAGGCAAATAGTTATAGCTACAGATATCCCTCTAAGCTCTGCTGTAGCTGTCTCCCATAAGTTTTGCTGTGTTGCATTTGTTTTCATTCATCACAAAGCATTTTTTTCTTCCATTTTTAAAAATTTTGCTATCATTAATCTACAATTACATGAGGAACATTATGTTTACTAGACTCCCCCATTACCAAGTCCCTCCCACATACAAAGTATTTTTAAATTTCCTTTTTGATTACTTGTCCCATTGGTTACTTAGTAATATGTTGTTCAATTTCCACATATTTGTGAATTTCCCTGCAATTTTCCCATTACTGATCTCTAATTTCATTCTCTCATGGTCAGAGAACATTCTATATATTGTCTGTCCACTTAAATACAAGTTCTTTTAAAAACGTACGTATCCTAACATGTTCTATCTTGTAGAATGTTCCATGTGACCTTGTAGATTCAGCGATTGGCAGAGATGTCCATAGATGTCTGTTAGGTCTGGCTGGCTTATGGTATTGTTGAATCTTGTGGATCTTATATCTAGTTATTCTATTCATTATTGAAAGTGGGATTTTGAAATCTTCAGCTTTTAACATTAAAGTGTCTGTTCCTCATTTCACTTCTGTCATGTATTTGGTATGCTTGTTAGGGGCACATATGTTTATAATTGTTTAATTTTCTTCATGGGCTGATCCTTTTATAATTATAAGTATCTCTCATTATATCCCTAGTAACAGTTTTTGTTTTAAAGTATATTTTCATGTTACCACTATAACCATGCCTTCTTGTTTTTTCATGTTTTCACAATATGTCTTTTTCCATCCTTTTACTTCCAGTCAGTTTGATCTATGAATCTAGAGTATTTCTCCTATAGACTACATGTAAATTATATTTTCTAAAATACACTCTGATGATTCCAGGTAGGACTGGAAAAAGATGGTAGTGTGAGAAGTGAGGCAGAAACCTCCTCCCAAAACCACATATAACATGAAAACACAGCAAATACAACTAATCCTGAAAGAGCGACCCAAAGACTGCAGAACAGACTGCCTACATCTGGGGAAAAGAAGACCTCATGGAAAAGGGTAAAGTAGCAAAGCTATGATCCGGCAGGACCCAAGCCCTCCCCCACCCCAGCTCACAGTGGGAGGAAAAGAAAGAGAGCAAGGAGTAGAAGCCCATGAATATTAAACACCTAGCCATGGAGATCTGCTCCAGGAGCACAAACCCACATTACATAGTGCTCTGGAGATTAGTGGGTTTGGAAAGCAAAGACAGCAGAATACTTGGAGAGACTGATATTCCAGCTACTTCTAGAGAACAGGTACCCATGGCAGGGTGCTCCGGGAAAAAATAAAAGTGGGCACTTTGAAAGACTTCCCAGAAGCAAAAGAGTGTTAAAGGGACAGGCATTACACAGAGCTTGCTGCTCAGGTGAAAGGACAGGTGGACAAAATCATCCTGGCACACTCAACCCAGCAAGTTGGGAACTTTCAGGAGCTTCACACTCTCCATCCCCTTGACGGGCAACACAGCCCTGAGGCCCCACACCGTGATATACAGCCTACTGCTCCTTCCACCCAGTGGCACCAGTCTGCACACCTGCTGCCCATACCATCATGCCAGGCCAGCCACAGGGTGGCCCCACTTATGGCAGCTACAGGGGCATAACACAGAGACTCTTCCCTGCATGCTTGGCCCACTGGCCCTGGCAGTGGAGGCAGTCACTGCAGTTGGGAAACAGGAAAGAGCACTTTTCACTCAGCAGGTGTTGGCGCCACATGCCTGCGACCCCCACCATTGCTCCAGGTGCTGGGCAGCTCCAGAGAGTACATAGAGCTTCTGGGCACTAGGGGGTGCCTCCTACACGAAGTTAATATTCCATAGGAATCACTAGAAAAATGAAACAGCAAAAAAATTTTGTGTAAACAAGAACCCAACAAACACCAGAAAAAGGGCTAAGTGAAGCTGAAATCAACGATCTTGACAAAGATTTCAAAATAAAAATCATGAACATGCTCATGGAGCTACAGAAAAA